GTCGCCTATGACTTTTTAAAATTTATAATTAAAATGTAGACTATATTACATAAGCAACCTTTTGGGACCATTTGTACTAAATTCTGTGGTAAAGGGTATGATTGCTTTTTTAATGAATTATTTTATGGCAATAATTTGTACAATAAAATGATAGATTTTAGATTATATAAACCTTTAATACACTTCTAAAATCATGTTGACATATCAGTGCCAATCAAGTGAGACCCCCTTTGTATAAACTTTGTTGGAACAGAATCTAAATCTAAGATTTCTTTCATATTGCATTCTATGTATAAGACCAGGGAATAATATGCTAGCTGCAGTAAACTGCTATGGAAGTATGTTGGGGAAAATTCAATCTTAATTAATTATGGTATGATCCAAACCATGGAATTAGTATATATATCCATGTGGCTAAAATACAAAATTTTCCTCAGAGGCAGTGATGTGCTAAGTATACTCTACATTGTACTGATTCATATGTTTTCTAGTAGTGTTTAGTACAGCAGATCAACACCTTGTGAAAATTCATAACTTAGAAGGCATGCATTTGTCTTTTGTTGCTGTAGTCTCTATCTGTATAGTACGTTATAGCATTACGTGCTTTTACATGTTTTCTTAATTTTTATAGACTTGGAAAGTATACAGAGCAAACATTGCTATCTTTGTTTTATAGATAAGATATTAAGGCATAGTGTTAAATTTTTTATTCAAGTTATTAAACCAGGTCTAGATACTTTTAATCTCTTGTACATCTTCCTACTTTCCATAGAACCTAGCTTAGTGCCTTAACATTTACTGAAAACCTGCTTTATATGTGTATATTTTATGAGGGATGAAATTTGCACTATAAGTAGCTATAGGTTGAAGATTTACATTTTTATAAAGGGAACCTTAGATAAGAAGGGAGCCAATGAATTCTTTCTTACCATAAATATTTTGTTCTAAGAAGTGAAAATACCAGGATTCTTTAGTTTGTGATTTGCTTTTCATGATCATGTTTGTACCTGGCTTAAGACCTTGACTCTTGCTATACTCTTTATCTGGAATGCTCTTTTTTTTTTTTTCCTGTTCTTGTATGGCTGATTTGTTCTAACCAAACCAAAATTACTCTATTACCCACTTTTCTTGTCCTACTTTATTTGCATTGTACTGATTATTTATTTATTTATTTGTTTTTCTATTCCTCCTTCCTTCCCACTTCCACACTTCCAAGGAGAGTGTAAGCTCCATGAGAGCAGTGACCTACTTTGCCTTATTCACTGCAATATTTCTGGTGCTTAGAACTATGCCTGACATATACACATACAGTTTATCTTTTGAATTTAAAAAAAGCACCTATATTCCTGAGTAGAAACTCCAAAAGAAAAATTAAGAAAAAAGTATCTAATTTCATCAGTGTAAAAATTTGTTTTAAGCACTTTGTACAAGTTACACAGTGTTGAAATCTGTGGAATCCTTTCTTCTTTTTAAATTGTACCTTTCCTTTCTTAGGACTGATAATTCTATCAAAAATCATTGGAATTCTACTATGCGAAGAAAAGTGGAACAGGAGGGCTATTTACAAGATGGAATAAAATCAGAACGATCTTCATCTAAACTTCAACACAAACCTTGTGCAGCTATGGATCATATGCAAACCCAGAATCAGTTTTACATACCTGTTCAGGCACATACTTTTAATACCTTTATTATTTTAAAAAATTTCTTAAGTTACTATATGAGAAGGTGTTTTGTTTCTTAATAGGACAAGTACAATGCATATTAAGGGGTAAATAGAGAAATTGAAAAAAATGTGTAACTTTGATTTATAAGTATTTTGAGAACAGATTTATTAAAATGTTTCCTTTTATATGTAATTTTTACATTAAGAAACTATATACATTTCCTAATACTCTAATTCTTTGAATCTTCATTTATGATTCAAAGATAATGGTCATCTGTGCTTTAACATTCTACTGTACTTTCCATTTAAAAAATTTTGGTGTAATTATAGTATTGCTTATCTCTAAGAGATAGGTATATATAAAATGGCTTAAAGGAGAAAGTAGCAAAAAATAACTTAAGTAATTGTTTTGGGGGGTGTGGTAATTAATTGGCCTTTGCTGACATTCAGCTTTGCTTTTCCCCCAATAACTAATCACTTGGGTAATTTTAGTCTTTGTTTAGATGATTCATTAAAGTAGATATTACATGAGCTCAAAATGGGGCAAGCTCTATGTTGTCCCTTACAGTGCATTTTTCTACTTGGAAGAAATTAGTGTAGGAGTCTTAATGGGATTTGTTTTACATTTCCTTGTCTACCTGTTATGCCATTTTTCACAATGCGCAATTCTTGGTTCTTGTCACATAAATTGTAAAGATTAAGTCAGGACTTAGTGGTTGTCTACCAAAAGATAAAATTGGGCGAGATATTAAAAATCTGTGCTTTTTATGCCTGAGATTTGATTTTTGACATTTTGTGGACATTAAGTTTTTTAAGCATCATTTTAAAAGAACTACTTAGAGTAATGACATTTTCATTAACAATGGGAAAACAAGTGAAGACAGTATATCTGCTGATACTCAATACCTTAAGGTTTTTATTATGTTTCTTTACATTTTTCTTTAGAGTCTAGATTTCAGCAGCATAAACTGAAACATTCTGCTTCTGTCTTAGAAAGGTTATCATTTAAATTTATTTTTTTAACTTGTAGAAAGATAATACATGGGGCCAACAGAGTATTTAACAGTCTTAATCTAAATATGTTGGAAAGATGAGGATATTTCTTGTACTACAAGAATTGTTTCCTTTTTAATTTAGATATATTCATTATTCAATTAATTTAAACTAATAAGATAATTTTATTATATGTGTGACTTGATAAAAAAATAGATGGGTTTAAAATACTGTCACAGATTTTCATGAAAAGTTTGGGAAGGAAAAGTTTTTAATTCGTTGGAGTTAGCAAGCTGAGCGATAAGTGGTACTAATCGAGTATTCTAAATGTTAAGTTCTATGTTAGAAGTTATACATAATAATTCTGCATTATATAGTGATTTAGGTAGATCATTATGGAAAGCAG